AAGAAAAAAGAAAAAAGCAAGTCTTCACTAATCCAAAACAAAAAAAACAGCAGCTTTTCCAAATAACAAGTCAGAAAAAGAAGCATTTTATCAAGAGAAAGGCAATGTTGTGATCAATATATGAAATATCCTGCCATCCTCTTTGTGGGGTTGCAATGTAAAATATGTTATGAACTGTGAGCCAAAAGAGATGTCGGAACCCACATGTGGAAAATGAACAAACTGGGCACTCCAAAAATTCACGTGCACTATTGTAAGAATGGATCCACAACATGTAAAAAGCGGCAAATTATTCTGTGGACCCGGGTCCAAAGATACACAATTTACATACTAAATGTTCACAATTTACCTTTTAAAAATTCACAATTTGTGACGTGTCTTGTATTCACAAATTCCCAAAACTTAGAAATACAATTTATATCCTAGAAGTTCACAATTCCAATACTAAAAATACACAATTTAGGACCACAGTCCACCTTACAAGGTCGACCCTGATCCATGGTATAACAACTGGTAAAAAGCTATCAAGTACAGTAAAGCTATCAACCTGATCCATGGCATATAGAGTAATTGATTTATCTGATTCAACATGAAAAAGCAGTGTACGGGTTGCACAGTAGAGAGTTCATTTAAGAAAATGTGATTAAGAAGATTGCAAGTCGAAATGGAAATTGACAGATTGCAGTAGTACAATAGAGTCAAACTAGAAGTTGCACTTTAGCTACAGAAAACTAATCACTGTAATTGCAAATTGAACTTGTATAGTCATCTGTTCCCCAAGGTGACAAAAAGGTCAACATAGGAAACTAATTTTGTATACCCAGTAATTGCAATAGAACTCGATCTACCAAATAAATATAAAGAAAAGGATTTTTCTCATTACCTACAGATTCAAGACTATTGAAGATGGTGTAATCTTAGCTCTCATGCTTTGCATGTCGAAAATCATATCGATCTACGTTCGGCAGTGGAAGAGTAGTTTCATTCCGGATCCTCTTGATGTTAGGGCTCAACAAGCCCCTGTGCTTAAACCCGTACAAATTAAGAACTTGATTATCCGCAAAATTGAAAGCTCTTTCCATGCTTTTCACGCATTTCTCGACCGGGAAATCCCCAGAGCTCCCACACGCCTTGCATCCCACAAAATGCGTAACAAATGGCCATCTCTCATCACCAAATCCAGGATGGTACTTCTCCATCACCTCCTCGTACCTATCCACCAATCCCGCCCAATATCCATGCAAATAATACGAGTTCTCAAGAAACACTTTATCCATCCACTGATCCTTCTCCGACATGAGCAAATATATCAGTGCAGATTGATCATCAGCTTCAAATTCGGGTCTACCCTTTAAATTCGCCGTCAAAGTCTTTCCAGATTCCTCACGAATAGGTCCTTTAGGCCCCATTGGAGCCCAAACATCCAACAAATCTAGTGCCCATTGGCAATTCCTAATGAGAAAACTACCCGTACTCAATGCAGTCCATGATTTCTGATCGAACAACAAATCCTGGTATCCATGGATAACAAGATTATGGCTATCATATTTTGACAGAGGGATCTCGAAAGCCATATCGGTGAAGAAAGCATCACTGTCCATCCACCAAATCCACTCGATTTCGGGATGGGAAAGCATTAGCCTCCTTATCAAAGGCAGTTTGGCCCAGTTGCCGTCCATTTCCCTATCCATATTGGCCGAATTATACACAATCTCAATCCCATGAATCCTGCAATAGTCAATTTTATTCTTCACACCCTTCAACAAGTAATGATCCCCAACCGGATTCTCACACGGGGTCGGTGGCGACCCGGTAACAAGCAAAACCCTAGGTTTCCCCTTAACGGAACTAGGAAATCTGGGGTGTCTATCGAACCATACCTTCCGTTGTTCGTCCCATCCGGTGATTTTGGGGCCCAGCGAGAAGGTCTCGTTGGGGCTGAGGAACCGATCCCCGGACTGGCCCTCCGGATCGTCCGGGTCCTTGTCGGACCGGATCTCGTCGAGGATCCGGTTGGTCTCGTCGATGAGGAACGAGTTCTCGACCTCGGCGTCGGAGGAAGCGAGGTTGCCGACGCCGATGGTGCCGCGGAGGACGAGGATGGTGACGAAGCCGCAGAGGATGGTGATCTTGATGTTGTTGAAGGTCCGCGAGATCTGGCGGCCGCGAGGGACCTGGGGGTTAGCTCGGATCCTGGCATCTCCATTCATGGCGTCTGTAGCGGTGGTGGGCAGCGCTCCGGGTCTCTTTTGAGCAGATAAAACGCCGTCTTGGCCCATGTAGCGCGTGGGTATGTGAGAGAAAGCTGGGCGCGAAACCTCTCTCTCTCTCTCTCTCTCTCTCTCTCTCCCTACAATTTCTCGAGAGTCAGTGTAGAGTGTTACTGTGATGGTGGCACACTTTCATGGAGACAAATGCGTGATTATTATCATGAAGAAGACGAATCGGAGAAGAAGCACCGACGGGAGGGAATTTTTTTTTTTTTGGTTTTATTTATTTGCGATCTTAAAACTATTTTTTAAGATTTAGGTTTTGAAAATGGAGAAAGGGACAAGACAATACCGCTGACCCCGCTGTTTACTTGCTGGATTTAGCGCGTAATTAAGAAGGAAAACACGTTCTCAGTTTTCTTCCTCCGCCATTTTTACAAGTTCGGTTACCTACATTACTCGTTTTCAATTTTCACCATCTTTTCATCAAACCAATTTATTTTTATTTTTTTTTTAAATTTAGAATAAGGATCAAATAGACTATTAAGAATAATTATTTTTTTAAAATTTATTTATAAAAAAAATTAATTTAGGATGACCAGTTGGAAATCTGTAAATTTGAAGAATTACATGAAATTGGTTAAAAAAAAACTTCAAATAAGTGATTGAAGTTGAAAAAAATGATGTAATTAAATCATTTTACGCCCTATAGCATGTTAAAAAGGGAGGGGGGAATTTCCTCCGGTCGTTGGGCATTCTTCTTGGTTAATTTTAACCTAATTATACTATACTCTACACTGCTAAGAACGAGTGGAACATCCCCATTCTCATACGAAAGCAATGAATCCGTCTATTGCGTCTGGACATCATCTTCGACTAGAATTCGTCTACTGCGTTTGGACATCCTCTTCTGTGTATGGCTAATTCGTATTCATCTTCTTCTTCTTCTTCTAATGATGCTAGTGAGTTCTACAAATTTGGGGAAAAGTTTTCAATTGTCCATTGTAAATGTGGTGAGCAACTGAAAATTCAGGTTGTAGATTTTGGCAATGCTTTGGTGGTAATGTAAGTTAATTTTTTTTTTTAGAAAATAGTTTTAAACCTAATTTATGAAAATCCAAGTCGTAGTTAATTTTTTTTTTTAAATGATTGTTTGAACCTAATTTATGAAGCAATTTTTGAATTATTGCAAATGAAGGTGGGATGTGGTTTTATTGATTCGTATGATCCTCCAATATGCTATCGTTCAAAGCAAATAATTTCGGGATTGCTAAAACGCATCAACCGATAAGATGAAGAGATACGAAAATTAAATATGAAGCTAAAAAGTGATAAAGATGATGTCAAAGTGTTTAAGTGGATGAACAAGGTTTTAGTAGTGTTGATGGTAATATTTGTAGCATTTCTTGGTTGTAGGGTTTGGTAATGAACTTTCCAAATTATGGTTATGTGTAATGTATGAAGTTTGGTATGTTTTGGTAATCTATGCATTATGGTACGTTTTGGTAAGAGTTAATTACCAAAATGCTCCCTTGGCTATAGCGAAATAATCAATTTGGTCTTCGACTATTTTTTTGATCAATTAAGTCCCTCAACTTTAAAAATCTTAACCAATTTGGTCCTCCGTTAGTTTTGTTGTTAGACTTCCGTTAACTTGGGACCAAATTAGTAATTTTGCTATAGTCAAGGGACCATTTCAGTAATTAACTTTAGGAGTGACAATTTGGTTCGGTTTTCCCGAACCGAACCATACCGAATCTGTAACACCCCCGATTTTTGACATATTTTAAAACAATTAAAGCTTACAAAATAAGGACAAATATATCATTAATACCAAATTAGACTGGAAGCTAAACATAATAGTTTGGGGGTGCTATGCCACATCTAAGCTTGCGAACCTAGATGCACATGCTACTAACTAACTATTCATAATTCCTAACAATGTCCGAATACAAAAGCGGCTCACATGCCATCAACTAAAGCTAACTACTATCTAAACTAGGAACCGTAGCTCCGACTAGCGCGCTCACGAGTCAACTAATCTGTACCTGAAAAACATGCGGTGTAGCAACCATTAGCGAATAATGCTAAGTAACCCACTCCCACCTGTTTATTACAATAAGTATAGATATAGGAAAACCATTTTGAAACTTGAGAATACATAAATATAGTCCTAACAACTCTAGTTTTAAAATCAAGATCATGACTCAACAAGGACACAGACACAACAGTATAATCATACTCGAGACATAACATTGATGTTAACACCATAAGACCACATCAAGATACAAGCATGCAAACCATGACCACAAGACTCGACAACAACAATAGACCTAGAACTGTCAATGCGGGCTGGCGGGGCGGGCAAGAATACGGGCCTAGGTAGGGGCAGCCCGCCCCGCCCCCCTTAGGCCCGCGGACCCCGCCAAAGCCCGCCTGTTTTGTTTTTTTTTGTTTTTTTTTTTTATCATGTGTCCTTAAAATCTAAACTCTAATGTGACTATGTTAATAACTTAATTGCTATCTACTTAAAACACTTATTCATAAGAAAATAACATAAATTCGTTCATCACATCATGACAACAATGACACCAATAGGGGTAAGTATAATTACCGAAAAATCGACACTATTGGGGATAAGGCAAAAAAAAATTCGATTATTCGGCTATTCGGTTATGAAGGTGTAATAACCGAGGTCACCGAATAACCTACACTATTATATATATATATATATATATATATATATATATATATATATATATATATATATATATGTGTGTGTGTGTGTGTGTGTGTGTGTGTGTGTGTGTGTGTGTGTTACTGTGTATATATATATATATATATATTGGGTACTATTGACTCTACTACAAGGTAGTATTTGTGCTATACTTTCTCAAACTACTGTAGTCCAAAGAGTCAATATTCCATCACGGGGGTTCGATCTTGTGACCTTCTCTCAAGTTGCCATCTGAGCACAAGGTGCTTGACAGATGAGTTGTATTTTAAAAATCTAGTGTGGCTTCCTAGTCAACTATAAGCGGTTATTAATTTGTGATAGGAGGTAAAAATGATTTAATTGCATCATTTTTTTCAAGTTCAATGGCTTATTTTGGAATTCTTTAGAGTTTGATTGCTTAATTGCATTTTTCATAAAAGTTGAATAACCTATTCAGCCATTATCTCTTTTTTTTTTTTTGAAGGAAAAGAATTAATGCATTAAATCACGTAAAAGATGCGTTACAAGAAAAGGAGGTGGGACATCAAACCACTCTCCACAACCTGCAGTTGAACCCGCCTCTCTAGCTAAAGTATGAGCGACACAGTTCGCAGATCGTTTAACAAAAGAGAATCTAACATCATCTATCACTGATGCTAATTCTTTTACATCATCAATAAGCAGTCCAAACGCAGAAACAAAAGAAGTTGCTTGTAGGGAAAAATAAACAACCTGTGAATCCAGCTCCACATCAACTCCACCCATTCCTGTGTCTTTCAACCAACTAAGAGCCTCTCTTAAGCATACGGTCTCAGCCTCATTAACTGTATACGTTCCCCCCAGATTCACACTCTTCGCGGCCAGAAAGGTTCCTGCATGGTCTCGCAACACCCACCCTAACCCCATAGAATTGGAGTACGGCAGCACACTAGCATCCGTGTTAAGCTTGAGCCGCCCTGCTTCGGGCCGTACCCACGTTTCCCCAGCCGTATTTGTTGGTCCTGCTTGGTCATGTGAATTCACGGCCATCCACCCACTCCAGAAACTGAGTGCCCGGTGCACCACCAACTCCACATTAAAAGCAACACTGTTCCAAACACTCTCATTACGGCTTTGCCACAAAACCCAACACACCATAACAAACTTTGGTACTAAAAGCCCATGCAAACGAGACAACATAGCAAAAAACCAAATCTATAACATTACCATGTGGCACCCCACGGTTGGCACACCCGCAAGAGTCCTGGCACGAGCTGCAGCAGCACATTCCACAAACAAATGATAAGCACACTCGGGCACACTCCTGCACATATAACACATCAAACCGCAGTGAATATTCTTCGTTCCAAGGGCATCATTAGTAGGCAGAAAAGAAGAAGCCAATTGCCAGCTAAAATGCTTAACCTTCGGTGGCACCTGCAAGTTCCATATCTGAGCCCACGGCCGCACATCATCCATATTCCCCCTCAATCGTCTATAGCACGATTTAACAGAATACTCGCCCCTCGTTTCCCATAACCAGTACCACGAATCCCTGGGCCTCCGTTTTGAAATTGGGATATTCAGAATCAAGCTGGCATCCCGAGCATTGAAAATATCTCGTACTCGATCCACATCCCATCCTACATTTTGAGCATCAAACAAAGAAGATACCGGTGAGTTAAAAATCCCTTCATCTACTGGCGTAGTGACAAAAGGCTCATCCTCAGATGGCAACCATGCATGCTTACCAATCACCGTGTCCTGGCCATTTCTAATACTCCGCCTACAGCCGTCTCGTACCACACGCTGGACCTCAAGCAAACCCCGCCAAATAAAGGATGGGTTACTCCCCGCCACTGCTTCATCATAAGTGGTATTCGGGTAATACCGGGCCTTATAAACCTGTGCCACCATTGAGTTCGGCCTCGTTATCAACCTCCACGCTTGTTTCCCCAGCAGCGCCAAATTAGTTTCATGCAAAGATCGGAAACCCATCCCCCCTACCGCTTTCGGTGCTGTTAACCCTTGCCATGATCTCCACCGTATACCCTTACCATTTCCCACAGTTCCTGTCCACCAGTATTCATTCATCATAGTCTCAATATCCCTACAGGTCCCTCGTGGCAACAGGAAAACCATCATTGCATAGCTTGGCATCGCCTGAATGACATTCTTCAAGAGCACCTCCCTTCCAGCCCTTAACAAGAACCTTGCATTCCAAGACCTCACCTTGGCTAGGATCTTATCCTTCAGAAAACCCAGAATCTGTTTCTTCCTCCGTCCTACTATCGAAGGGAGCCCTAGATACTTCCCTGCTGTATCCCCTTCCACCACCCCCAACATCTGAGTGACCATAGTCCGCTGGGCAGGCTTCGTATTACTCGAAAAACACACCACGGACTTATCATAATTTATCATTTGTCCCGATGCTCTCGAATATGTGTCCAACACGTATTTCATGCCCACAGTCTCACTTTCATTTGCCCGAAGAAACAGGAAACAATCATCTGCAAACAGCAGATGAGAGATCGATGGTGCTCCCCGGGCAACACAGACGCCATGCAACTTGCCCATCCCCATAAACCTGTCTAT